GATAGTAAAGATTTAGAAGTAGGGACTCTTACTGCTTCCAGTGTTGGAAACCAAGAAGTCATCCCTGAGCATGTGGCTGAATTCATTGAAATTCCTGTAAGCATACCAGAAGATGTTATTGAAAACGTTATCGAAAATGGCAGTCCTGATACTTCTTTAAATGTCTTGAAGCCTTTACCTGAATGTGAGGATTATGACGAGGAAGAGGATGAAGAAGGTGATTATGAAGACGATGATTATGACCTAAATCAAGAAACTTCAGTACTTCATAAAATCAATGGAACTGTGTGCCATCCAAAAGACATATATGCTACAGATCAAGAAGGAAACTTTAAATGCCCTGCTCTTGGCTGTGTCAGGATATTTAAAAAAATTGGATTTCTAAATAAACATGCAAGGACTGTACATCCAACTGATTTAAATGTGCGACAAACGGTAATGAAGTGGAGCAAAGGAAAATGCAAATTTTGTCAAAGGCAATTTGAAGATTCTCAACATTTTATAGATCACCTTAATAGACACAGCTATCCAAATGTGTACTTTTGTTTGCATTTTAATTGCAATGAATCATTTAAACTGCCATTCCAGCTTGCCCAGCATACAAAAAGTCACAGCATATTTCAAGCTCAGTGTAGTTTTCCAGAATGCCATGAGCTTTTTGAAGATCTTCCTCTGCTATATGAACATGAAGCTCAGCACTATTTAAGTAAAACACCAGAATCATCTGCACAACCAAGTGAAACAATTCTTTGGGATGCTCATACAGACTCAAATCCTAATCATCAGGAAAAAGACTCATCTAGTAATGAGAAACAAACTATTAGTCTGCCAGTTTCAACTAGCAAATCAAGGAAAGATTCTACAGAACCAAAGACATGTATAGAAAGCATGGAAAAGCAAACAGACAGTTCAGTTCAAAATGGAAATGAACATTCTGTTGACACTGTTTCAAATATAAGCTTGATAGACCAAAAGATGACTGACATAGAGCCAAATTCTGAAAATAACTGTAGTGTTAGTGATTTAGTCAATGGACATAGTGAAATAGAGCAAACACCTTTAGTTTCATCAGATCCTGCTTTGAAAATTGATACAAATAGAATTAGGACAGAAAATGGTTCCATTTTACCCACTGTTGTATCACAAGAACACAGTACCCTACCAGTATCTCAGGCACCTTCCAAACCAAATCTGACAAGTGAACATACTTCATATGGCTTAATTTTAACAAAGCCATATGTCAGACCATTGCCTCCTAGTTACCTTGATGAACGGTACCTTAGTATGCCAAAACGCAGAAAATTTCTGACTGATAGAGTAGATGCCTGTTCTGATCAAGATAACATTTGTAAAAAATCAGTGAAAAGATTAAGATGTGGCAAATGCCTAACCACCTACTGTAATGCAGAAGCACTTGAGGCTCACCTTGCACAAAAGAAATGTCAGACACTCTTTGGATTTGATTCAGATGATGAAAGTAAGTCTTCTATCTTCTCAGTAGATGTATCTGTAGAAATAGAAAATGCCATAAATATAACTATAAATCTTTACTAGGTAAAAAAATTAGCATTTGTATAGCACAGACGGTAAAGCACTACCCCACACGTTATTCTCTTCAATCCATACAACCACTGTGAAGTGCTATTACTATTCTTGTTTTATAGGTCAAGCAAGTGAAATTCACAAATTAAGTAATTTGCATAGACCTATGAACTTGTGGAAGCCAGAATCTTCTTTGTGGAAGTCAGAATCTGAACACAGTTTTTTTATACCCTTTGATCATACTCTTTCCTCTGTATCGGGGACTTTTCTTCATTCCCAGTTTCATGTAATAGAAGTTTTAGAAGCAAAGTAATTTTGATGGAAATGTTTTTTCATCAGCATGCCAGAACATAAATCAAGTGAGACTGAGTCTCTATTACAAAAACAGAAGTAAAAAAAGAACCAGAAAATTGAAAAACAAAATTAGCAAAAGAGGAGATTTTCTTTTTACTAATATCAATATCCCTTGAATGAGTGAGGGTATAAATTAAACAGGAATCTAACTTAGAATTCCAGCTGAACATCTATAAAATTTGAATTAATAGACATGTTCTGTTTTACAGGTGCCTGATAAAAATGTTTCAGAAAGATCTGTCGATCAAGCAGTAGTGTGAGAAAAGCACTACAAGAAAATGCATCATCAGTTTGCTATTTCCCTGATGGCCTTAATTTTAGAGTGGTCTCGGATTACTAATGATAAGATAAAGCACATTTTCTAGAATGAACCCACAAAGGAGATGTGCTGGCTTAGACTCCAAAAGGGTTATTATAGAACTCCCAAAGTACCAGTTATCCAGAAAACCACATTTTTAAAAAGTTTATGATTATTAATAGCAGCATGTTCAGTTTCGCTTATGTGGGAAACATGTTCAGGCAACTAGTCAGAAAGAAAAACCAGCTATAGCCTTACAGAAAGGGAAAAGTTAACCCACTATAAAAAAGGGAGGGGGGATGGCTTACAATAATAAACAACTTAAAAGTATTCTACAAATGGGATTTGTTTTCTTGTCATGCATAATCAGATTACGTCCTCCCTTCTGGTCACATATGTTCTAAGGAGCCATTGCTGTTTGGTTTGTGATATAATTTAGAAAGTGATACATGAAAATAAAACTTGGTTTATCATCACCATACTATCTATTAAAGATTGTAATTTATTTCAAATGAATAATTAGGCCAAAGTTCAGTGAATGGCATGCCAACAATGAAAATTAAAAAACAAAACAAAACAATAATGCTTTGCTAATAAGCCATTTATAAGACCTTCCACTTTTCACTTTTGTAATAAAAATTAGTTATATTAAAAGGCAAATGTATATTTAAAAGAAAAAAGTACCATCAGTAACTTTGGGGAGAGATGGGAGGAATCTAAGACCATGATAGGATATATAGTTGAGAAGGAAAACACTGAATTGCAAATTCTTCAATGTGAATAATAATGAAAGCACACTGGGATATTTCTGTTTGTATATAGTGGTAGGACATTGCTTGATGATTCATAGTAAAGTCCTTTATACATTTAATGTGAGTTATCTAAGTACAGTCCTATAAAAATAGCTAGATTAAAAAAATATGTCAGCTATGAATCAGGTCAAGAATTCATTTTATTTAATTAGAAGAGTAATTCCAGAATAAGCCATACTACTCATGTTTTTTATTCATAAGTGATGAATTTGGCCTGAATAGCAATTTTTATATATAAAAGGAAGTATTTACACAAAAACTTAGCAAGAACACAATAAGAGATATATTGATGTATTATTTTCCTTGGTGACCAGTAATTTTCCTAAGAAGATTTTAACTTAATAGTCAATAAATTTGTTATTAAATGTTCTAAAAAATACCCTCTCAAATGTTTTCCACTTACCCATTATTGAAAGGAGGATGTTTAAAGACCTCTCTCACCTAATACAAGAGTACTTCAAAAGGTTTGTGGAAAAATAGAATTAAAAGATAATACCAATCTTTCAATGTACTTTTCAAAGTACCCTGTAGTATGTTAATCTAAGACAGGGATAAAAAAAACAAAAATGCAAGGGCAAATTTTTTAAAAATGGACATATTAATGTACCATTATTAAATATTCCAGTTATTCCAACTGATAAATTTTTGTTCAAAGCAGATATTATTATCAGACCCTACTATTACAAATTTTATAATAGAGCTTCTGGGATGAGGTTACTAGGGCAGAGGGACATTACCTCCAGGGTAGCATCCAGACTTTATTAAATTAGGATTTCCAAGTCATGACAGATCAAATGATCCCCCCCTCCAAAAAAAAAAATCTCAGTTTATTTATCATGAGCATTCACTGCTATGCAATGATTGTCATAAGTCNAAAACAAAACAATAATGCTTTGCTAATAAGCTCTTTATAAGACCTTCCACTTTTCACTTTTGTAATAAAAATTAGTTATATTAAAAGGCAAATGTATATTTAAAAGAAAAAAGTACCATCAGTAACTTTGGGGAGAGATGGGAGGAATCTAAGACCATGATAGGATATATAGTTGAGAAGGAAAACACTGAATTGCAAATTCTTCAATGTGAATAATAATGAAAGCACACTGGGATATTTCTGTTTGTATATAGTGGTAGGACATTGCTTGATGATTCATAGTAAAGTCCTTTATACATTTAATGTGAGTTATCTAAGTACAGTCCTATAAAAATAGCTAGATTAAAAAAATATGTCAGCTATGAATCAGGTCAAGAATTCATTTTATTTAATTAGAAGAGTAATTCCAGAATAAGCCATACTACTCATGTTTTTTATTCATAAGTGATGAATTTGGCCTGAATAGCAATTTTTATATATAAAAGGAAGTATTTACACAAAAACTTAGCAAGAACACAATAAGAGATATATTGATGTATTATTTTCCTTGGTGACCAGTAATTTTCCTAAGAAGATTTTAACTTAATAGTCAATAAATTTGTTATTAAATGTTCTAAAAAATACCCTCTCAAATGTTTTCCACTTACCCATTATTGAAAGGAGGATGTTTAAAGACCTCTCTCACCTAATACAAGAGTACTTCAAAAGGTTTGTGGAAAAATAGAATTAAAAGATAATACCAATCTTTCAATGTACTTTTCAAAGTACCCTGTAGTATGTTAATCTAAGACAGGGATAAAAAAAACAAAAATGCAAGGGCAAATTTTTTAAAAATGGACATATTAATGTACCATTATTAAATATTCCAGTTATTCCAACTGATAAATTTTTGTTCAAAGCAGATATTATTATCAGACCCTACTATTACAAATTTTATAATAGAGCTTCTGGGATGAGGTTACTAGGGAAGAGGGACATTACCTCCAGGGTAGCATCCAGACTTTATTAAATTAGGATTTCCAAGTCATGACAGATCAAATGATCCCCCCCTCCAAAAAAAAAAATCTCAGTTTATTTATCATGAGCATTCACTGCTATGCAATGATTGTCATAAGTCCATTCCAATCAAATTTAAGTTTGTTTTTGTTATGTAGCCTATATTAGGCTGTGGTATTTTTAAGTGAATACAACTCATAATCAAGTTTTTAAATCCTTTAAGTTCAACTATAAAAAAAAAAAAATGTTTTCCTTATTTCCCGACACTAAAAATGTAATAATTGAGTTCATCTCATTCTAAAAGTACATCTTATAATAAAAAGTCTGTTTGGAAACTGGTTCATTTGGACAATAAATTATTTTTGAAATATAATTTCTGCTTTGTGCATTTTCCAGAAGTCTAAAATAACATTTTATGACATTTTTAACTTTTTATTTTTTACAAGTTGTAACCATTGACATAAATTCATCCTGCAAAATGTTACATTTTCATTAATTTGAAATGTTACTGTTAAGATGTTTTAAACATATTCCACATCTTCCTTTGTCTTTAAGTTTTATTTGAGGCTTTATTTCTACTTTTGTGTTGCTAAGTGAAAACTGTTTCTGAAAGACTGAGATCAAATTAGTTAATACAGAACTAAATCAAGTAATGTTTTATAAAATTCTATTTGATCACTAACCTCTTTACTTCTCAAATAATGGCTATTGAAAGAATATATACATTTTATTATGTGTGTCTTCTAAAACTTAAACCTACATCATTTTGCTTTTATGGGGTGCATAAATTTCTATGAGATCTAATTTGGGATTCAAAAGAAAAGGAAGCTTTCTTCTTATTCCTCAGATTCTTCACCTTTTCTTTTCTACTCCTATTTTGAGGATGTTATTAATTTTACATGGACCAGGTTTCAAATCTTCGTTAAATAAAAATTTCCCTAAAAAATTAAAATATTTACTTTCTGCTGTTTCAGTAAAATTAAGAATACAGCAAATCTGAATTTTTGCTGCTCAGATACTGTGGAGGAGGAAGAAAAGGGGTGATTTCCGTGGACAAGGACACTGGTACTTTGGGCTTTAGCCATATTCATTTTTTTTTTTAAACCACCGATTATACAATTCATTGATAATTTATATCATTGGATTTGGGATTCTTTTCAAATCACACTGAAGGTTCATGTTTGGTTTAATACTGGTGTATGGATGAAAAACCTAAAAGGGATGATAGTGTTTATTTTTTAATTTATTTGGTACTGTAAAACACCTTTTCAGAATGAGTAAATGCTGCATATGCATTTTGAATTGTCAATATGTGAAAGATATTACAGATTCAGCAAGAAAGGAAATTTGTGCTTCCTTGTTGAACGTTAAATTATTTTACTTTGCATTTTATAAGAGTACAGATTAAAACTGAGCCATTGAACTGCAATAAATCAACAATAGTGTCTCATTTCAAGAAATTTTTTGTACTGTACATAGATTTGTTCAATAAAACATTGTCCTTGTTGGTAATAAAGTGTTCAGTTTTATGTAGTACATTGTTTTCAAAAGGAAGTAGGCTTATTTGAGGTATATATTAAATGAGAAATTTCTATTATGTCTCATTTTAGGGATGAGATATTTCAGTTAATATTACCATATTCGGATTATTGAGTGATTTTTTAAAAATAATATAGAAAAATAAATCTAAAAGTTTACACAAAATAGGCATTTCTGAACATTATTTTAACTAATGTCCATATGCAGGAATAAATGTTGATAGAATTTTGGTTACTAAAGTCATTTCAGGTAAGTGGCTGCAGTGTGATACAGTACTCTCTGCAACCTTAGTTGGTATAAAAGAAATAAATGTCAGAATTCTCCAAAAGCAAGACATAGGATGGATTTGTCTCCATTGGTAATCTTCAAAGACGAAGATCTGACAGAATTTAAAATAAAAAAAGGTAGAAGACTATGAAGTCACTCTGAAATATTAGGATATAAGATGAAAATTACTTCCTACAAAAGTATTTCAATGCCAAAATGTTTAAGTCAACAGTCTGTAACAAAAAGCGATGTCCATGGGCATAAGGACTCCTACTTCTTTGGTTCACTAACAAAGGAAAATCCACTACACTATTTGTTATAACTTGCAACTGGAAAAAAACGGGGCTTTAAGTAGAAAAAGAATCTCTTTTTGATGCAATGAGATAACACTACAAATGAAAGAATAGATAATGGGTTAAAGTGATTTGCAAATATTGCAAATGTTATGCTTTCAAACACAAAGAGTTACTGAAGCATTATGGAGCCAAGATCTAAAATTCTCGGTTTGATTTGTGGTTGAATGATCTTAGACTGAATATGTTCCATATTCAGAACAGTGAATGTATTGAGGTATTTAGACAAGTTACCGGAGATTAAATAACTTTCCATTTTCTTTTTCTGAAACTTGAGGAAATCTGAGAAGCAAATATTACTAAGTAAGCTTCCAAGATAACTACATTAAGTTGCTTTTCATAGAATAAGATCTATACGTATTTCAACAACCAACCAGTAACAGGGACAGAAGTTTTGGGTATATGACAAGATTTGAAATGGAGTCAATCCAATTTTACACAGAATAAAAATTAAAAATAGAAGACAGGTTCACACCTTATTGGTGGGTGCTGCACACTAAACCAGTAACAGGGACAGAAGTTTTGGGTATATGACAAGATTTGAAATGGAGTCAATCCAATATTACACAGAATAAAAATTAAAAATAGAAGACAGGTTCACACCTTATTGGTGGGTGCTGCACACTAGGGAAAAAATGGTTTCTGTTTTACTCAATTATGTACCAGCTACTTTATATATGTTATCTCTAATCATTAAAACAACTCAAGGGTAAATGGGAACACTGATTTTTAGACACCAAGACTCAGAAAGGTAATCTTGACTAAAGTCATATGGCTAAAAATTGGAGAAGTGCCATTAAAAATCAGATGTGTCCCCAAACCGTAATGTTTCCATTCTGCAATGTAGGTTTCCCCTACAAAGGAAGAACATTAGTGGATCTAATATATCCAAATTGAGAAGGTCAGACTTGCCTGAAGATAGAGATTTCAGAGACAAAGGATGAAGTCTGGTACAGATATACGTCATTGATGTTTCATTATCTTTTAATTGCAGTGATCCTTAAATTGTGATTCCTGGAACAGCAGAATCAGAATCACCTGAGAACTTGTTAGAAATGCTAAATTTTGGTCAGGTCTTTCAACAAGTCCTCCAGTTGATTCTGAAACAAGCTAAGGTTTGAAAACCACAGATCTAAAACAACAATCTTCTTTGTATTTCCCTAGGAAGTAAACTATTTCCCCTTAAATTCATATAGCTGTCTCAGAAACTCCAGGTTTCTAGGACATTTTTAAAAGTCCCCTATTAATAGGTATTTAAATAACTACTGTTGGGTGAGTGGATATTTTAGTAGTAAGATCTGACACTCTAAAATGTTCTAATCTAGAGATTTTTTTATCTCAAAAAGTACTCGGTAAGTAAAACTTATCAGAATATGATTTAATGAGAAGAGTGCAAAGAAGTGTGAAGATCAGTTGTACTCAAATTCTAGCATGTGGAGATGTAAGCAAGTACATCCCGCTGAGCTCAGCCTTCTTCATCTGTTAAAAGGGGACAGCTGTTTTTGCAAGGTTCTAAGAATTAAGTGTGTGAAGGGCCCAGTTCTGACTCCTTCCTGTTATGATTTTGTTAAATTTCTCTTCATGTTATAGCTCCTGTCCAGTCTTTGGCTCCAGCCGTACCTGAAACTCTACAGTGCCCTCATCACACTTTTATTTCATGCATTTTTCACTACTGCTACCTTTACTGGTAGTTCTTCATCCTCTTCCTGCTCCACCCCACATTCTTTGATTTAATCCTCCTTAGGTATCAGCACTTTCTCCAGAAAGCTCAACCTCTCCTACTATTTTCCCTTTAAAACCTACTTCTCCCAGCATTCCTCCTCTCAGTAAAGGGTTGCCCAAACAAAACTTTGCAATCTTCCCTGACTCTTTATCATGTCTTCCACTCTAATTCAAGCCACCATCTTCTCTCACCAGGACTACTGTAGTAGTCTTCCAGTTGGGCTATCTCTACCCTTACCTTCCTTCAATCTGTTCTTCACACCAGCAGAGTAATCCTGTTTGAAACAAGTCAGACCATGCTGTTTCTCAGTTTAAAAGCCTCCAAAGGCTTTATAACTCATTCATTTATTCAACAAATATTCACTGCATACCTACTATGTGTCAGGCTCTATGATAGGCAATGAAAAAAAAATCCTTGCAGAGCTCACATTCTACTGGGGGGTAACAAACATACAGTATACTATAAGTGCTATAGAGAAAAAAGTGGGTAGGAAATGTATAAGTAAGCATGCTGTTAGTGATGGTAATTTTAAACAGATAATTAGGGAAGACCTCTCTGATAAGGTAACTTTTGAGCAGGGACTTTAAGGGATAGAGCCATGCAGACATCTGAGGGAAGATATGCTTTTTTTATCTCAAAAAGTACTCGGTAAGTAAAACTTATCAGAATATGATTTAATGAGAAGAGTGCAAAGAAGTGTGAAGATCAGTTGTACTCAAATTCTAGCATGTGGAGATGTAAGCAAGTACATCCCGCTGAGCTCAGCCTTCTTCATCTGTTAAAAGGGGACAGCTGTTTTTGCAAGGTTCTAAGAATTAAGTGTGTGAAGGGCCCAGTTCTGACTCCTTCCTGTTATGATTTTGTTAAATTTCTCTTCATGTTATAGCTCCTGTCCAGTCTTTGGCTCCAGCCGTACCTGAAACTCTACAGTGCCCTCATCACACTTTTATTTCATGCATTTTTCACTACTGCTACCTTTACTGGTAGTTCTTCATCCTCTTCCTGCTCCACCCCACATTCTTTGATTTAATCCTCCTTAGGTATCAGCACTTTCTCCAGAAAGCTCAACCTCTCCTACTATTTTCCCTTTAAAACCTACTTCTCCCAGCATTCCTCCTCTCAGTAAAGGGTTGCCCAAACAAAACTTTGCAATCTTCCCTGACTCTTTATCATGTCTTCCACTCTAATTCAAGCCACCATCTTCTCTCACCAGGACTACTGTAGTAGTCTTCCAGTTGGGCTATCTCAACCCTTACCTTCCTTCAATCTGTTCTTCACACCAGCAGAGTAATCCTGTTTGAAACAAGTCAGACCATGCTGTTTCTCAGTTTAAAAGCCTCCAAAGGCTTTATAACTCATTCATTTATTCAACAAATATTCACTGCATACCTACTATGTGTCAGGCTCTACTTGCAACACTCCCAAAAGCTCCTTGAAGAATGTAGGTGTCATTTCTCTGATTCTTCAATACCTAGCATAGTATGCACTCATTAATGCTTAATGAAAAATAAATTGGTATCTGTTGAGTAAATGGTATTCCAAATAACATCCACTGGCAAATTAAACATGTTTTGCGTGTCCGGCTGAAAGACTATTTTTATAGCATATTTTATGACTGGGATTTAGCTATGACATTTTAAAAATGTTAAATATGCTCACAGGGATCTGCAGATGTGTACATTTCAGCTATTAAATGGCAATAACCTAGTTAAATGTTAACTTACCTAAAATATGGCTAAAAAATAGAAGCAGATAGAGGCAAGTAACAATGTGTTTAAGTCTGATTGCTCTGTCCAGCCGAGAATGACTTTTTCTCTCGTCAATGTGGGTTGCTGTCATACTAATAGTGATAACAGCTAACAAGTACTGAGCTCTTACTAGGTGCCAGGCACTGTTCTTACCTCTGCCCCCACAACCCTATTAGGTAGGTATCTCTATTAGATCCATTTAGAGATAGGAAACCGAGAGACAAAAAGGCTAGGGAGCTTGCTCACAGTCTCAGTAAGTAAATAGCGGAATAAAACCCTGGCAATCCGGCTCCCAGAATCCCCAACCTCAAACCGCACGCGATACCGCCTCTACTAAGGCCGAGCCAGTAACATGGGAAATGGGGGAAACTGACGATCCCAGCCCGTTAGAAAGGAAAGTCAGCTGGAAGGCGGGCAGGCATGGGATAGAATAGGTGATATATATATATATATTTTTTTTTCATACTACAATGTTAAACAAAACCAAAATATCTTAATTTACCTAACTTAATATCAAGCTACCGGCTCACCCAACTCAGAAGTAACCGCTGAGGACTTTCAAGCTCTCCCGGGGGCCGGGCCCGCGGGCGAGGAGGAGCCGCCTCCATTGGCCGGCCCCGGGGCATCACGGGAGCTCGCCGTGCGCCGGGGCCTCCGCGCGCTTCCCACGCACCTGCACTTGCGCAGGCCTCCAAGGCGCTCTTTTGGAGGAGGGACTTCGGCGGAGTTCAGGGCTTTTCTTTCTGTAACCAGCTCCCTTGTGGAGGGTCGGTGGTCTCCGAGTAAAAGCAGCTCTTTCCATCAACGGTAGGATTTCGCTCCGTCCGGCCAGCCCGGAACCTCAAGTCGGAGCACCGTATTTCCTGATTGACTGCCTTGGCAATCACTTCCGCTCAGGGGTTTGGAATACCTGAGACCCTTCCGCGGCGAACAAGAAGAGAAACACTTCCGGTCTCTGTTGCTAAGGCACGGGCCCGGTGGGCCGTAGAGACGACATTATTGGTGTCGTCCTCTCCCCCCTTCCCGGGGGTCGAGATGTCGGGGCTGAGCTGCTCAGAGATGGAGGGCTGTCGTAACCTGCTCGGCCTACTGGACAACGATGAGATCATGGCCCTATGCGACACCGTCACCAACCGCCTGGTGCAGCCTGAGGACCGGCAAGGTGAGAGAACAGACCCTACACCCCGAGGGCGGACGCCCCTCCCCAGCCCTCACCCCGACCCAATGTTAAGGGAGCGTGGGAGTGGAGGGGGTTCGAGACCCAACCCCCAGTTCATCCCCAGCCGCTCTTGGGCAGAATCCTGGCCACTCCCGCTGCTCCGCGGCTTTGGAACCAAGACGCAGACTTGGGCGGCGGGGGTCGCGTTGGGCCCCTGAGAGAGATGGTGGCGCTGACAATGGCGCAGTCTCCAGGTTATAGCCATTAAATGTTATGAGCAAAAGCTTGTTGGTTCGAGGTTTCGTAGTGCCTCAATAGTTATCTCTTAAAATTTCCGGGGAGCCAGAATGTTTTATATTTTCAGTTTCGATCAGCTGAGCTGTTCAGGCTTTTTTTCTTCAAGCTTGAGGGGAAGAGGATATCATACACACTTTTCATCAGTCTCTGGTGAAACAGCGACTGTAATAGAAAGACAGTTTGAGTTCGTGTCTCCTTTTGGAGCCAAAGTTTTTCTGAGATGATTTTGTGTTCTAGGAATACATTGTTTTCAGAGTCAAATATACGAGTACATTAGGGCAGAGTAAGATTTCAAGGGTTATTAATATTGAACCTGTTTGTGCCTAGTTCGTATAAAAATATAAAGTTTGTCTCACTTTGTGCATCACACTGCTAGTTTTAAATTTACTGAATTTTACTTTAAAATGTTCCAGATTCATATATTTGTATATGATTTAAGTGTCTTCAAAAAATTCTCCCTTTTGAAACGATTTCTCTGCTTTTAAGTCGGGTTTACATTTTTGTCATTTGTAACTTGGAACCATGAACGTAAAAGAAATTCGTAAGAATTTAGACTGAAAATAGTTTGAGACATTGTTCTTCAGCATTTATATATTTTACATGACATGTAATGTAAATCGTGGTGATTTTTACGATCATGGTGAGTGTGAATTTAAAATTGTATTATATAAAATATTGGATTTAATTGATAGTGGATCTAAATGCAAATAAAGAAAAAGTGAAAATTTCCCAGTACAGAAATGTTTAAATGACCTTTTTCCAGGAAAGAAGAGACATTTCTCCAGTAAAAAAATAACCAATAAGCATATGAAAAGATTTTCAACTTTAGAAAGCACTGAAATGAAAATCAAAAACACAAGGTGTCTTTTCTATGTACCAGATTGGCAAAAATTTAAAAATATAAACCTCAGGTGTTGGTCAGGTGAAGCAATGCTTTGACACCTAATGAAGGAATGTAAATTAGAACTACCACTTTAGAAAATAAGTTTGGCATTATCTCCTAAAATAGAAGATAAGACACATACTCTAGACTTAGGTTTCTCAAACTTGAATGTGTCTTTCAATCCCTTAGAGATCTTGTTAAGATGCAGACTCTTGATTCAGTAGTTTTGTTGTAGGCCCAGAAATTCTATATGTCTAACAAGCTCCCAGGTGATGCTCATGCTGCTTGCCTTTCTGTGTACACTGGGAAATATGTATGAGAATGTTCAAAGTAGCAGTGTTTGTAATAGGACACACACAATAAAAATCTATAATCAGAAGAATAGGTAGATACCTAGTAGCATAATTAATTATTGTATAACAGTGAAAATGAGTTAACTATAGCTACATACACCCATATAGATTAATCTCAAAAACATTAAGTGAAAAGCTGCTTCCAAAGATTATATATATTGATGGATTGAATTTATAGAACATTTAAAACATACCAAACTATATTGTATGCTGATACATGCTTATATTGTACAACTATAAAGAAGAACAAGGGAAAAATAAACATTTTGGATAATAGCTACCCTGTGAGGAGAATAAGAAGAGAGAGGAACAGCATTAGGGAGGTGTGAAATGAGAGCCTCAAAGATACTCGTAATTTGCTATGTCTTAAGCTAGGAGGTGTGTGTATGGAAGTTCATTTTATTGCCATTCTGTATACCTCACACATGTCAAAAATATTCTTCAGTCTGTGTTTAATATAAAGTTTTTAAAAATTAAAAAACATACAAGTCCAGGTTCTGCCACTTCTAAAAATATGATTATTGAAACGTCATGTATCCTCAACTTTCATTATTCATAGAGTGAGGATGTTGGACTAAAATTCCTTGACATCTAAAATATTGTAATTTTACCTGTTTTTAGAGGTTTTGTATCTGAATTTAGGTCCATTGGCCTTTTAGAAAAAAAAATTCTGGCTTACAATTTTTGTTAAGACAATTCTTTAAGAGGAAGTGCTAGAATTTCACTGTCACATATAGGAAGTGAAAGGAAGGGGGAATTTTAGGTAATGAAAGTTTACAGCATAAAGGAATTGGGGGGGGGGGACTTGACAACCCAATTCCTGTTTTTAAAAACAACATGCAAAAGCAATTAATGTTGTGACAAGAGTTTATAAATATTATTTGGTAGTTTCTGTTGACCTTTGACAAATTTACAAGTGCTTCATGATTTTATATTAATCTTTGCAATTTCCCTCTAGATGCCATTCGTGCAATTTTAGTGTATAGTCAAAGTGTAGAAGAACTTCTGAAGCGTAGAAAAGTCCATCGAGATGTCATATTTAAGTACTTGGCAACACAGGGAGTTGTTATACCTCCAGCTACTGAAAAACACAATCTTATTCAATATGCAAAAGATTACTGGGAAAAGCAATCACCACTGAAATTGAAGGAAACACCAGAGCCAGTTATGAAGACAGAGGACATCCAACTCTTTCAACAGGTAAAGTAGATCTTATAGTTATATTCTGAACCTTTGTTCTGTCTGAAACTTTGTAGGTAATCTTAGATCTGGAAGAAGGTGGTTGATATATTTGTATTTTATACTTTTAACTTTACTCCATTATTCTTCTCATCCTAAAGGAAAAAAGACCAATACAGCAACTAAAAGAAAATATTTCTGACATCTAGTGATATACGTGTAATAAATATTCTGTTGATTTGTGAGGGGGGAAATTTGTATTTTATACTTTTAACTTTACTCCATTATTCTTCTCATCCTAAAGGAAAAAAGACCAGTACAGCAACTAAAAGAAAATATTTCTGACATCTAGTGATATACGTGTAATAAATATTCTGTTGATTTGTGAGGGGGAAGAAAGTTTTTCCCCCTTATCAAATGAGAACTATTGGATTTTTAGAGAGTTAAACTGCAAGATTAATTTAATTTTGGGCTTTTGTTTTCTGTAATTTTTTTTTTTTTACTTTAAAAGAATTCTATTGTAATACAGTCTCATTTTTAAGACTTTCTTCAACTAGAAAAAATCCTGTTGTAATTTTCCAGAGCTGACATTGGCTGTTCCTATTTCTTTGTATCTCCACTGTCCATTTTAGATATTGACTGGACATTTAAATGTTGCTTGAATGAACTTTTAGGAAATTTGCATATTTTACACATTTCATATTCTTAGAATTAATTAAGTTTTAAGTGAGGAAGCTTTGCCTTCACATTAAGAAAGTATCTTCTAAGGTCTTTCTTAATAAACTGAAAAGAGCATTGACTTTGAAATCGTATAGATGCGACTTCAAATTAGGGTCTGCCGTATACTAGGTGTGTGAACTTGGGCAAATAACCTGACCTGAGCGTTTTTTTTTTTTTTATCTATAAATTGATCATAACAATGATATCTGTATCATAAAGCTTGTTGTGAAGATAGGAGGAAAGCCCTTAAGTGCCGTATACAGTGCCCAATATATACAATAGTAGGTGTTCAGTAAAATATGAGCTCTTTTCCCATCAGTGAGGTACTGTATTCTGGAATACGTAGGTGAATGTGATCTAGCCTGTCAGGAATGATTTTGCAGTAACATTTCCTTTAAAAAAAGAAATTATAGTATAAAATTAATCTCAATCATGGAAAATAACCTATTTCAATCACCTTAGCAGTGTCAGTTTAAAGACAGTAAAAATGCTTATTTATTTTCAACTTTATTGTGATATAATATGCAACAAAGTGCATTCAATTAAAGTGTACAGTTGGAAGGTTTGGCAGAGATACACACCTGTGAAAAAACTGACACAATCAAGAGAAAATAGTAATGTTGTAAATCATTATTATTGACCAATCATGCTGATATTTTAAGAGACTTTGTTAAACCTTACTTTCTTAGCTGAATTTTCATTTTTAAGGTAGAAAATTCTAAAATGGTTTTTCTCCTTTTTTAAAAAAAGATTTTACTATGCATGGTGGGTTCAGTGAGTTTACATGTAGTTCAGTTCCCTCTGCTGTTATCAGTACATTAAACCTTAGCTCTGAAACAGGCTAGATAGAAAAATAGATATAAAAGTTAAAACTTTGCTTTATTTTGTATTCATTTTATCTATTTTAATCAGCCGGCAAAAGAAGATAAAAAAGCTGAAAAGGTTGATTTTCGTCGCCTGGGAGAAGAATTCTGTCACTGGTTCTTTGAACTTCTTAATTCTCAGAATCCTTTTCTGGGACCACCTCAAGATGAATGGGGTCCACAACACTTCTGGCATGATGTCAAGCTTAGGTTTTATTACAACACATCAGAACAAAATATGATAGACTACCATGGAGCAGAAATCGTGAGCCTTCGTTTGCTGTCACTAGTGAAGGAAGAATTTCTTTTCCTCAGCCCCAACCTAGATTCCCGTGGACTGAAATGTGCTTCTTCTCCCCATGGGCTAGTTATGGTTGGAGTTGCCGGGACTGTCCACCGAGAAAACACATGTTTGGGCATTTTTGAACAAATTTTTGGACTCATTCGGTGCCCTTTTGAGAATACTTGGAAAATCAAATTTATCAACCTAAGAATTGTTGGAGAGGGTTCCCTTGCTCCTGGAACATTACCGAAACCAGCTATTACATTTGAACAAAGTGATCTAGAGGCCTTTTATAATGTAATCACATTATGTGGTACCAGTGAAGTACACCTTAATGTAAAGCAGTCATTGGATAGTGGAACTGGAGACCAAACTTTATGTAGTGGAAATGAGGCATTGATGAACAAAAGAGAACTGAGTTTACCTAACCTTCTAAGGCATTGAGCTCTGTACGTTCGCCTAAAAGTCTTCTATACAGAAACTCTTCTAAATATTATATCGATAATGTCTAAGTGTTTTCAGATGTGAAGATGGACATATTTTAGTTGAAATACCTTTCTGGACTACAGACTGACATGTAAATATTTGCCTATTTCTACTTGAGTTGCACCAAATGTTCTGAGGGCTTAATGCAGTTCATCAAATAAATCCCACTTTAGATGTTACAGCTAACCATGTGCCTTAGAAACCAGGTAATATTTTCACTTACGAATATTCTGCTATTTTTTATTCCCACTTTTCACGTGGGAAAAGATTAATAGTGTTTAAGACTTTCCCTCTTTAAGTTTCTCATTTACTTTTATCTGGATAATTGGATATTTTGCAAATGCATCTCACTACAGTAATTTTTTTTTAAACTATTAAATATTTTAGAGATGTTTAATGTAAACTCAGTTCTCATTTTAGAAAACTTGAATGACATTCTTATGCAAAAAGTCCAGTAATATACCAGGTGGAGAAAAATTTATCGCCTCTTTAAATATTTGAGGAACATTTTTCAGTTATCTGCTATAGTACAAGCTAAGTATCTTTTATAGTCTGCATCATTTTTGGAACTATTTTGGGCAGTGGTAAATGCTGTTCTCAAAACAGACCTTATTCTTACCTAGGCTTCAGCTAACAGTTTTATAGAGCATTTATTGTAACATCATATAAAGGAAATATAGTGTTGAAATTTTAAAGGTGTACCCAATTCCTGACTTTTAGATCAATTACTGTTCTTCATCTTGATTGATCTTGGCAAAGGTGAACCAAAAAAAAAAAAAAAAAAAAAAAAAAAAAAAAAAAAAAAAAAACCTTAACCCCACAAATTTATAACATGGGTATTCATACATACATATGTATACATATACCCCTACCTCATAACTTAGAATTATTAGCAGTTTTTACCTCTAATTTGTGTTACTAGGTTTGAGTTACAAGGTTGAGTTGCCACCTGCATTACATAGTTGCTTTAAAGTTTAAATTCCTCATCACCTAACAACTATTTGCTGATCCTGGATTTAGTTAGTAATTTTATAAAAGGTACCATTTGGAAAAAAAAATTATACTGGAAAAATGCTGTGATGATGTATTGTACATGTTACTTTTTACGTATAGTTCTTCTCATAATCATCTAGGGAGACTGATAAGAATTTTGGAAGCAGGAGAAAAAACTAATCTTTTTGTTTTTTTAATGCCATGCCTCTTATGAGGAGTGCAAATTGATATGTCCTAAAATAAGAACTTAATAAAGGAGGGAAATCACTTTTGTCTGCTTTAAGAATAGTGTATTGTTTAGATTTAATTTACAGTTGTCTTGTTCTTAGATAAAGTTTTAGGCATTTAACCAAAATAAAGCAAATTTTACTGCTAGTTGGACTATAAGTGTGATATAATTAGATATAAAGAAAATAGAAGTTTGCAAAAAGTTACCTCTTATACTTTTGTAAGGTACTCGGTCAGGTCACCAGTCTTACCTTTACCTATCCTATAGCTCTGCTTGGGTTTTAAAACCAAGTTATCTTTTTTTTCATAAGCTGGAATTATCATTATAATGTGTAATAGATAAATATCCTAAGGGTAAAATTAAAACCATTTCTGTCTCTTTGTGCTGTTGCTGTCAAGTACTGTAGAAATATAACTACAGATGTTCAGAATAGGCAGATATTACCCCTAGCTATCTTTCCGTATTCAGTTTTTGAATTTGTATAAACCCTAAACAAGGCTGCAGTCTCTGCACATAGTTTTAATCAATCTTAAAGATTTGAAATCTTCTTGAGGGTTAGGGCTGTGTTTTATTTCAAGTGAATCCCCACACATGGGCACACAGAGCTTAATATTGGAGTGAATGGGTGAATAAATGAGCAAAAAGAAACATACTTTGAGAAAGGCCTTTCTGCGTCTAGGTTTTATTTTTGGTGCTTCTTACCGGTGGTTTTTTGGTCATGTAGTCTGTTTTAATTTCATATGTGGATACACAGAAACTTTTA